GTTGTGATTAATCATGATAAAAACTTATTTTTTTTAAATTTAAAATTTTATAAAGATAAGTGAACAAAGTTGAAAAGGGTATTTAGGTAAAAAAATTATATAACTCCCATATCATTAATTGAGAGTTACAAAATCAAAAAATTCTATGATTTTTGTTAATGTAAGAACCATGTGAACACAAATATATATATATGAACCATTGTGTTAAATACGAACAAAATTTTGACATATATATGAACTTGGACTGCATAACATTTATAAACACAATAAGAACGTAATAACAATASTTTTGACATATATATGAACTTGGACTGCATAACATTTATAAACACAATAAGAACGTAATAACAATAATTTTGACATATATATGAACTTGGACTGCATAACATTTATAAAAAACAGGTATGAACACATATAAACAGCTTCTGAACAATAGTTTCTTCATTATAAACACATTCATGAGCGATCTTTTGTCAATTGGAGTTTTATACATGCATTGCATCCACACTGTTTTAAGGTTCACCCCTTGTTCATATATGTTTCTGGTCTTATGTGGTTGTTCATCCCTTGTTCATATATGTTTCTGGTCTTATGTGGTTGTTCACCCCTTGTTCATATCGTATAAAATATATGAACACATAACCCCAACGCTATGAACACCAGGTACAAACACTTACACAAATATAAAGATTTGGTATCAGGCTTAAAAAATAACACTTGTGTTCATATGATAGAAGTAACATGAACACAATGGTTCATGATTCATAAAAGTCGGTAATATGACAATATGAAAATGGGTCGTGCATGTACTTCCATTTCAACATGTGAATTAGGTACGTATTAATAATCAAAGAAAAAAGTTATCAATGCAATATGAACTACAAAAAACACAACACATCATAATGAACATAATTTCGATTAAAACGAGTCTAATAAAATATTAATCCATTACCAAGGCATTCGATCCTGGACTCAAACTCCGATTGTCACCATAAACCATTTTAATCTTCTCAATGTTGTCGATTTTTTTTCCAATGCGTTTATTCATAATAGCTTGAATGATACCGAAGATTTTACTATCGTGTTTTCTCCACGAATCAAAAACTCATAAACAATAAAAATGAAAGATCAAGATTAAAAAATAATAAAAATATCAATATTATAAATGCATATTTTTAGAGATTTTATGATTTTGTAACTCTCCTTTAATGGTATGGGAGTTACATAGCAAATGAAATTACTTACCCTTGGCATTAAATTGTGAACATGATAGAAACCTAATAGAAGAATGAATTGTGATTGGTTGACATGGTTTACAAAGTTAACACAAAAACTTTGGTTAACATTTGATCTTGTCCCTATATATATATATATATATATATATAGGTGGAGGTTCAAACGAGAATTCTTGTGATTTACGAGAACGCGAGAACAACCTAATAACCTCAAACTTTTTTAATTAATAAATTAACTTTTATTATATATAAATAATTCAATAAGGGCAATAATGTAATTAAGTAATTTTTAAATTTTTTATTTTATTTTGATTAATCATAATTATCTTATCACGTTTCCACGTTTTACTCTTGTTAGTTTTCTTTTTCTCCATGTCGTTCATGCTTCTTCTCCATATCATATGATTATCACATCCATATCACATGATTATCACCAAAAATTTAACTTATCAACCAAAACGATAACCCAAGTGATGTATAACGGTGATTATCACACCCATATCACATGATTACACAGAAAAATTTAACTTATCAACCAAAACGATAACCCAAGTGATGTATAACGGTGATTATCACATTCATATCACATGATTATCACACTCGTATTACATGATTACACCAAAAATTTAACTTATCAACCAAAACGATAACCCATGTGATGTATAACGGTGATTATCACACCCATATCACATCATTAAACCCATATCACATGATTACACCAAAAAATTATCACATGATTATCGTGTAATCGTGTTAAAATATTTGATGATATCATTTCCATTATTACCCTTTTAATTTTAATATTTATTGAATCTTTTTAAATTTCAATTTTAATTTTAAAAATCTTTTATCACAATATAAGGTTATTGGATTGTTCTCACGTTCTCGTAAATCACAACGGTTCTCGTTTGAACCGTATATATATATATACTAGAAGGGTACTCGCGCAATGCAGCGAGATACATCGTGATTTTAATATTTTATTTTATTCTTTATCTCAGTCGATATAATAATATGGCTTTATGTGATTTTAAGAAAACGATGATGTTTTTATTTTTGAATAAAATATATGTTTGAAGATATCATAAAAATTTGACCA